ATACAACTGTTTAAATGTATATGTGCATGCATATACTATATATGTGCACATATGTAAACATATATATTCACACCCATAATTGACAAAAATTGGATCACACTATGCATACTTTTATACAATCTGCTTAAAAACATTTTTTACAAAAAATTTATTTATTTATTTAGAGACAGAGTCTCACTTTGTTGCCCTGCTTAGAATACAGTGGCATCACTGGATTTATATCTTTCTAGACTCTTTAATGCATACACTATACACATACATTAATATGTTTATGTGATATATACACACATATGTTTCAAAAGTATCTTGTTCAGAATATTAGAGAATACTAAATTTTGTATTTATGAGTACTATTCCAAAATTTCTTCATGCTATATGGTGATGCATTTACTAGGTGGCACAATAGCAAAGACATAGATTTAGAGCCAGACTGGTAGGGTTCAAATCCCAGCTCTGCTATGAGACTTTGGCCCAATTTCTAATATTCTTATACTAGTTTCCCCTGTAAAATGGGGATATTAGGTTGGACCATATGGAAGTCCTGAGGCACATGATTCAACCCAGCAATAGTACCTATCTTATATTACTAAGAGAAGGAATATAGCTCAACTTCCAGGCTGGCATCTCCTAAATCCTAAGACCAATGAGTTCTTTCCATTGCATCCCAAGGCCTGACTGCACGAAAGTAGATATGTGACCACAGCAAAGCCCGAATACATACTATAGTATCTGTTATAGCTAAAATTTATCCCAACAATATGAGAAGAACCACTGTGATCCTGGGCCATTTGTAGTTCCTGTCTCAAAACACCGCTGTGACTTCAGTAAGAACTTTTAAGTGCCTGTGATGGATAATTTTACATGTCAACTCGGTTAGGCTGTGGTGCCCCACCAGTTTATATGTTGCTATAAAGGTATTTTTATTTTTTTTTATTTTTTTTTTTCTTTTTGGACTTACATCAAGCAGGTAGGGTATTTTTATTTTTAAATGTGATTACCATTTAAAAATCAGTAGACTTTAAGTAAAGCAGATCACCCTCCATAATGTGGGTGAGCTTCCTCCAATCAGTTGAAGGCCTTAAGAACAAAGAAGTAGAAGGCATTCTCTTTAAGACTGCAACACAGAAACCCTGCCTAAGTTTCCAGCCTGCTGTCCTGCAGAATTCAGATTCAACACTGCAATATCAACTCTTACCTAAATTTTTAGCCTGCCAGTCTATCTTACAAGTTTTGAATTTGCCAGCCCCCATAATTATGTGAGCCAATTCCTTAAAATCAGTTATCTCTCTCTCCACCATGTAAGGACATAGTGAAAAGTTGGCTGCCTGCAAGCCAGGAAGAGAGCTCTCAACAAAACCCAACCATACCTGATTTCAGACTTCTCTCCTCCAGAACTATGAGAAAATAATTTTGTTATGGCAGCCCAAGCTAATACAGAGACCTTATTTGGAAACACTGTCCTTGCACATATAACAGTTAAGTAAGGTACTTAGGGTGGGGCCCTAATCCAATATGACTACTACCCTTATAAAAAGGGGAAATTTGGACACAGAAGCAGTCATGCATAAATGGAAGATGATGGGAAGAGATGCAGGAAGAAGATGGCCGTCTACAAGCCAAGGAGAGAGACATGGAACAGATCTTTCCCTCACGGCCCTCAGAAGGAACCAACTCTGCAAACACCTTGATCTTAGACTTCCAGCCTCCAAAACTGTGAGACAGTTTCTGTTGTTTAAGCAAATTTCTGTTGTTTAAGCCATCTAGTTTGTGGTACTTCATTGCAGCATCTCTAGCAAACTAATCCAATGTCCCTGAGAAACTTTGGGAAGCCTGACTTCCTATTGGGAAATACAGAACTTGTGAGATCCATACATGCTTGGGAAAAGCTAAACACATTGTTTTACTAACAAATAATCTTCTGTATTAAAGTTCTCTATTTCAACTAAATTTTGGGGATGAAAATTTGTTATGCCTATAGAATCAAAAGTCACAAATGTACTAGCCATTCTTTTCTGCTATATATACTAGAAGGTTTGGGTATTTATTGTTTATGCAAAATGCTGTAATTTCTTTTTATTTCACTCTGTATTAAATTTAGGTTGAAACTAACACTTCCATGGAACTTGGTATTTTAGAAGAATATTCAATATGTTCCTTTTTAAAATAATGCCAGATGTCCACATTAATTTAGATATTGGGTGATATAATGTATTATTTTATGACAAGCAATGCAAACTGAACTGCATATATTAGAAAACTTAAAAATAATCTTATCAAGACCTTTTAGAGTTTATGATATTAAAAAATATTGATTTTATTTTCAGCAACAACCTACTCTGGATTCAAGTATTTGATTTTCAGTTACAAAAGAAATACTTTAAAGACTATGGTAGAAACTAAAGTCAACGCTTTTAATATAATCTCCATGGCAACGTGGGAAGGAGCACAGCCCAGTGGGCCAAATGAAAGCCACAAACTCTCAATTTCAGACCCTACCATTAACTCACCACAGAATGCCACATTTGTATCTTGGCATTTCATCTCTGTTATAAACAGAGGCACTCTGGCTTTACTCAACAAAAGAGCATCGCCTTAATCCTATATAGTTGATATACTCATTTTACTAAATTAATACTATTACATTTATTTTCTGAAACAATATAAGATTATACATTACATTTCTAGGTTGTAGCAGGGAAATAAGTAGCATTAAGTGGAAAATGCAACTACTGAATAAATTCCCCAAATTTCATATTAGTTCAAAAAATTTGGTCAAAAATGACCTAATATCAAGGATCCCCTTTACTTTCATAAATGAATTACCGAGATAAAGTTTATTTTTTAAAATATGTATTTGAATTTGATCAGCTATTAACTGAGCATCCTGACCATATTGTTTACATTTTCATATTTTAAATAAAGAAATGTCTTCTATAGCAAATTGTATAATAACGATGCATAAGGATTTTAACTGTAGTTTAATGAATTAGTTAAGATTTTCCTATGATGCTATCTTGCTAATATGAAGATCATTTACTAAAAATACAACAAAAATAAGAATTAAAAAAGTCTAAGTTACAAAAATAGGTATTAATAATAGTATTAACAGTTAACATTTACTTAGTATTTATTACATACTAACCTGGACTTTTCACACAAATGATCTCATTTAATTCTCACATGACCTTATGAAGTAGATATTATTATTCCCATTTTACTGATCAAAAGGCTAAGCTCAGGATATTCAGTTATTTTTCCCAGATTTCCCAGTGGCGGAGTCAGAATCAGGCCTGGGTGCTTGACCACTATGTGCTACCACTTCTCACAGATGTGTTTATTTCATTTGTTAATTTTATTCACGTAGTAACACACTTGGAATCTCAGTTCTTTTCACTCTAATTTAAATGCAATTCCACCAAATTTGGTTATCTAGTCATGTAAGATTACTAGCAGCAAACTGGAAAAGTTAAGAGCAGGCCTCCTGTAAGCAGAAAACATTAAAAACACAGAAAGTTGAAACAAGAACTGAAAGTTTAGCAAAACAGGATTATCCACAGCAAGAAAAAGATAAACATGGTTTGGGGAGGGAGTGGGCAGAAATATGGAAATGGTAACCACCATTTGTTAAATACCTATCACACGCCAGGTTTTTGTCTTCATCATCTGCTAATCCTTACATGCCCTGCCACGCAGGCTGTTGTATCCCCATTTCATGAAGTTCAGCAGCCTGTCCAAGTTCTCACAACAGAAGAGCCAGGCTTATAGGGTGCAAGGTCCATGATCTGAAACAATGCACCACACTGCCTATCTTGCATGCATTAAGAAATGAAGGAAGGAAAGAAAATCTTACAAAGGTTTCTATAAAAATGATTATACTGGAAATGCTTAATGCTTTTTGGCATTGAAGAAGGCTAATAAGCTTTGGCTATTGGGAAAATTAAAATGAAACAAAATACATTTGATGGTGGTAAGTGAGGTGTTATAGCACTTTTTTTCAACTTTAAAAGATCCAAATTTTAGGAAATCCTAAACTTAGAAAATCTATAAGCTAAAGTTGTACAAATAGGGGATTTTCATTTGATATCCTATCTTTAAATTGTCTGGTATCTTTTTTTTTTAAAGTACCAATATTGGAGTTTTACTTATTGAACAGTCTTAGCAAATACAAGGCACTATGCCAAGAAATAAAGAATGGCATAAGAATGTCATTTGGAAGGGTTAGAAATTCAAAACACATATGTGTGCACGTGCACACACACAGAGAACTCAGTACTTTCAGTTAGACAGTAATTAAATAGAAGGGCTAGGTTCCTTTCATCATACAACAATTGTTTTTCCTGAATGCCTTATTGCCTAAAGACTATTACAAATGGGAAAATAACAGGAAAGCATTCCCACAAAGAACTACTCTACATAATATATATACATAGGCCAGGTGTGGTGGCTCATGCCTGTAATCCTAGCACTCTGGAAGGCTGACATGGGAGGATTGCATGAGCTCAGGAGTTTGAGACCAGACTGAATAAGAATGAGACCCTGTCTCTACTAAAAATAGAAAAATTAGCCGGGCACTGAGGTATGTGCCTGTAGTTTCAGCTACTTGGGAGACTGAGGCAGGAGGATTGCTTGAGCCCAGGAGTTTGAGGTTGCAGTGAGCAGCAATGATGCCACTGCACTCTAGCCAGGGCAACAGAGCGAGACTCTGTCTAAAAAAAAAAAAAAAAAAAAAAAAAAATATATATATATATATATATATATAACACACACACACACACAATAAAACTGTTCTATATATGACCAAAAACTTAACTAATAAACAGAAGTCTAGTTTTCTTGTGATGCTGAAAATACACATGTGTTTCATTTAGCTGTAACTCAAGAAGCATATTATGCTGCTTTAGAGCTGCTGACTTAACAATGCTTTCATGCACGGCCTCCCCACTCCCCATGCTGTACCCCTCGCCCAGTGTAAGCCCTGGTGCCCACTTAGGCATGATTACCCCTGGTGCAGCCCTGCCATCGGCGTCTCTCTCAAGGGAAAGAGCTTGGGGTAGACGATGGTAAACATGGGCTCGCTGCACCGGTGACAGTGCCCCAGGGGGCAGTGCAGCAGCTCCAGCAGACTTCTGGGTAGCGAGATGGGAGACAGAAAGTTCAGATCTGGAACACAAGAGACAATCATGCACACAAGTAAAAAATAAGACTAACTTAGCTAGGCTTTTAAAAATATTTCTCTTTGTTATGAAATGAGTTTAGTTAGTTAAAAATATTTCATGTTGAAAATTCTGTTACTTGATAGGCATTGAATAAAAATCTAACATTATTTAGAAATGAAAGATGTTTTTTATATTTTAAATACTTAAATTTTTAATACATTTTAATTTTAAAAGAAAATATAAATTCACTATTTTAAGAGCAACCAGATGCTATCCTGAGGTAGAGGCAAGGAAAGAATAAGATCAAACATTTTTTAAGAACAAAGATCAAAAAGGCATCAATTTACCCAGAGAAGATTTTGCAAGTTATAAGAGTTAGACAATTCAAAAAGGACTCAGACTGAAGACTGAAACTGACTTTCATTAAGTTTTCCCTAAATCTGTTAGGCATTTAGTATCAATCAAGCGTCAATCAGGGCTAAATCATATTTATTAAAAAGAATGAAACGTGAGAAATCGGAGAATGAAAAATAATAAAACCAAGCTTTTCCTTGTCTCACTCCCATGAGCTGTCATTAATAAAAATACGGAGAGCTTCCTTCCCAGCTAAGTCTGAGCTACACAAAAGAGACATTTAAAGCAAAATATCCCCATGGCCCAGGCAATCTTGGGTACAAATTTATACTAGGTTTCTATTGATGATAAACATCCAGTACAGAGAGAAATGGTCATGCTAAGGTAAAATCTAAAAATTATTGACTCATCTTTGGAAAGGAAATACAAATCATCTTCTTATATTTTTATATCTGTTCAGACTTAACCACTTAATAACCACTTAGAAAAATGTAATCTACTCATAGGTGAATAACAATAATTCTTTGTTTAGTTTTAAAAAACAACTTCCTAGACATTCCTGGGAAGCTAATGTTAGATGTTTTTGTATGGACTCCTTTTTTTTTTTTTTTTAGCAAAGACAAAACATCTAGCAGCTTCTAAAACACTTGAAATGTATTTTTCTTATTAATATTGCCTAGTGCTTTCTTAAAGCATTTCAGACATACACCCACAATACCTGCAAAGTCTATACATTGCCAAATCCTTTCTAAAATATAATATGTTGGCATGCTGTGATAATACTGCCAAAGACTCCTGATATTTCTTCTTCTTTAGATAAGTACATTTCTCAGATGTGAGGAGGCTGCAAGGCAAAAATATGCTCTGCTGGAAGAGGTATCCAACTTTGCTTTAAATATAAGATCTTTCCAAATTTTCCCTACTGCCAGCCTTTCACTTCAACAAATATATTCTCAAACATCAATTTCTTTCACTTACATCACCTCGTTTAACTGTTAACCACTATCTTTTGCAACTGAAGACCATATTTTAACAAATGCTTCTCTGTGTCTGTAGGGGGTGCTAAAAGGATCAGTGTTAAGATATTAAAGCTAGTTTTCTTCTAAGAAAAATCCCATGGCTGGTCTGAAGATACTGAGTTATCTCACTTGATTGTTCACAGTCAGTTACAGATCAAACTCCTTGTTCTACTCTTTCCCCCTTCTCACTATAGCACTTGACTACTCTAAAAAAAAGAAAAAAGAAAAATGCCATTGTGCAACAGTGTAAATGTATTATGCCACTGAACTACATACTTAAAGATGGATAAAATGGTAAATTTTGTGTTATGTGTATTTTACCACAATAATTTTTTTTTAAAGACGAAGGTCAAACCAGGCAACATAAAACATAATTTTTATGTTCACTGAATGAGAGACAGAAGGAAAAGAAAAGTTCCACGTACCTTTTAGAAAGCTGTGGTAGGTGTGATATAGACTTCTCATGGCCAGCTCTTGCAGAGGCAGGACATGATCATGCTCTGTCCCGATGGCCTTCACCTCGGCTGGGAGGAAAACAGTTAGTTGCCCTGATGAGAAGGAAAGTAGCTTCACCTCGGAAACTTGAATGGGAGCACCACAGCTGCAGAAAGACACATGTTCACAGTAGTATTAGCAATAAGGAAAAGAACACAGGCGCCAACAAAATGTGTTAATCAAAATATACATTTGAAAATTTATGACACTGCTGAATTGCCAGAATTCTTCTCAAAGCGAACATATGCTATCCTGGGTTCCTTAATAAAACCTGGCTCATAAATCTAAACTCATCAGTTGGAACTCTGCTAAATCATTGCTGAGGCCCAGCCATTTCCAGCAAGGATAAACTTTAAAGTAACTCCTTCTTAGGAGTTGCACAATTTGCTTTGCAAGCTCTATTTTTTCTCATTTTATTACCCTCTCCAAATGTGTGTTTATTGAAACTTTCAAAATTAAAAGGATAAAACGAGTACTTTGTTGAGTTATAGTATCTTGGTTTAATACATTTTTTTGTGCAGAAAAACGTTAAACACACAAAGCAAATAGATTTTAAATGACATAAGATAACTTTATTGGATCCTTCCATAAACTTGTGGGGAAAATATTCTTGGCATATTGAATAAGCCAAGTCATACTCTATTCCCTGCAGCCACTCATAACCTGATGGCAGAGATGTCCTCGTTCCTTTAGCTGCAGAGTTACCAAATCTCAGGAGTCAAATCTCATTCTACCTCTTGTCTGAGACCAAGAGGGTGACCTAAAAGCCTGGATGCTTTTCTTCACTAATGACAAACAGGTGCCAACAAACCTTGACTCTCTGAAAATAACATGAGATAACATCAGTAACCTTGACCAGAGCAGGCAATGAAGCATAGGGCACAAGACTGGAAGACAGAAGCCCTTGACTCATTTCTTTGTTAAAAGTTCCTTCATTTGTTCATTCTTTACCTTCATCAGAAAACATTTCTAGAGCACCTTCTATATGCTAGTCAGTCAAGATACTTACATTAATAAAACCAAGATGACTTCCTTACTTCAGGAGAATAATTTTAACACAATTGTTCTAATGTGGGGGCAAAGAAGGGGTGATTGACTGTCCAGGGCAGGGGTCCTCAAACTTTTTAAACTGGGCCAGTTCACTGTCCCTCAGACCGTTGGAGGGCCTCTGGAGGGTGCGACGCACATTCCACACATGCACACTGTGGGCCCGGACGAGTTGGCTGCTAAGCAGGACAGGCAGCGGCGGCAAAAACACCGGGCTGGCCGGATAAATGTCCCCGGCAGGCCACATGTGGCCCGAGGGCTGTAGTTTGAGGACTCCTAGTCCAGGGATTTAGGGAAGATTTTAAAGAGGAGTCAATATCTGACTTAGAGCTTAACTGATTTCACCAGGAATAAATGGAGAGCTCAAGGTACTAGTATTCCAAACACAAGGAAGAGCATGTGCAGCAGTACAGAAGCCTGAAAGAATATGGCTATGTCTGTGGCTTCAAGGGGACTGGACAAATGGACAAAGGGAGAAGAAGCCAGGAATATTAGCTGAAGTTAGACAGTTTTAATTCACAGGGAAAAATGTTAGATGGTTTTTACAAAACTATTTGGCCACAGTACAGTGGACAGGAAGGAAATTGGTAGCAAATTGGTGATAAAATAAGTTTTATCACCTTTTGATATGTATACCAAACACCAAACACAGAAGGAAACAGGAATGAGGAAATTGTTAGGGTTTGGAAAGTGAGAGCTTGACATAAGTAGAAGAGGTATGGAATAGCCATTGTGGGTAAGAAGCCAGTAGCCTTCTTTTAAGTAACTAAAGCAACTAATTTATACTTTCAAATCACTGGTAATTTGGGGGCTTGATCTATTTTAAATAGAAATCTCATCAAATTTTAGAAGCAGAAAAGTCAGTCATGTGAGGTAGGCTGGACAAATTTCACTCTTTTATACATAGAGTTATTTTTATTGATTTGATCATAAGAGTTCTAGTTTTTAGCCAGGAGTGTGTTTTTTAAAAAGTTATATAAAAACAATCTAATATTATAAATTTAAATTATAAAAATAGTGCATGATTATTGTTATAAGCCAAACAATATAGAAAATGAAGATAAAGTGAACAATTTCCCCTAAGTTTCCCTCTTTAAGCCCTTTGTCTCCAAAGTAATTACTAATAGTCTGATGTTTATCATTCTACTCTTTCCTATATGCTCAGGCAAAAAATAGAAAGAAATCCTCTCCTCTCACTTATTTTTTTTCCAACAAACCGGATCACACAATTCTGTAATGTGTTTTTGGCTCAAATATTCCTTCAGGCCAATCAAGATAAACTTAGATAATTTTTTTTGAGACAGGGTCCTGTTCTGTCTCCTGGACTAGAGTGCAGTGGTGCCATCATAGCTCACTGCAACCTCAAACTCTTGGGTTCAAGCGAGCCTCTTGCCTTGCCCTTCCAAAGTATTAGGATTGCAGGCGTGAGCCACCATGCCTGACCTAGAGAATTCTTTTTAATTGCTACATAATATTCCACATTATGGATGAACTGTAATTCACTATGTTTATCCTGGTTTTTTCAGTGTTTTCCCTTTTACTACACAAACAGAATTACAATAAATTTTACATACATTCCTATGCACAAATGTTATTACAAGATAAAATTCCCAAACTGGGATTGCTGGGCATGAAAACTGAAAATTTTAAATGCCTGAGATCTTTCCAAAAAGGTTGTTATGGAAGTATCCATTTACCCACACAATCATCATAACCAAATGTTATCGATCATTTTAGTCTTTTGCTCTGATTAATGAAAACTGTCTTTTTGATTACTAATGAGTTTTATCACCTTTTGATATGTACACTGGCCATTTACATTTCCTCTTCTGTGTGCTGTCCATTTATATCCTTTGCCTAATTTTCTACTGAATTAAAAAATCAATTTATAGGAACTTCCATATTGGTAGTAACAATCCATTGTCATATGTGCTGAAATATTTATTTCCAAAATTATTTTTTCTCTTTTTCTTTTTTTTAAATGTGGCTTCCGTGGGGCAGAAGGACCAGGCTGCACTTCAGGAGACCTCAAAATATTTTTGCCTTTTAACTTTGCCTACAGTGCCCTTTGTCATTAAGCAGTCATTCTTTGCTGGTATAAAATCTATCATTTATTTGCTTCATGGCATCTATATTTTCTGATTTTCTTCAAAGGGTTATCCCAATTTGAAGACTGTACATATATTATCCTAAAGTTTCTTCTAGTATGCTTATTGTATTAATTTTACATGTAGATGTTTCATCTATTTGTCTTTCTTGTTATATGATACAAAACAAGATTCAACTTTTTTCTTCCAAATGGTCAAATAATATTGGTGGCATTATTAAACTATTTAATTCATCTCTGAAATGAAATGTTCTCTTTATTATATTAAGTTCCCATATACCCCTGCATTAGTTTCTGAAGTCTCTGATCTGATTCAGTGATGTATGTGTTTAATCCTATGTCAATTCTACATTATTTCGACTACAATAGCTTTATAGAAGCTTCTATCATCTAAGTCTGCCCTAACTATTCTTGTTCAAAATTTTTCTTGCAATTCTCAGTTACTATTTTATTTAACTTTACAATTATTTTACCTAGATCTCCCCAAAACCTTCTAAGGATCTGAATTAGAATTAACACTGATTTATATGTTAATTTGGGTAAGATAGGTAATTGATATTGCCAGTGGGGATATAAAATCGTACAGTTATTTTCAGAAAGTTTGGCAGCTCCCTAGAAAAATTAAACAGATACCTACTGTATGATCTAGCCACTCTACCCATATTGTATTTACTTATTGTATTTCATCCAAGGAAATGAAAGTTTAGGTCTATTAAAAGACTATCCACCTACGTTCACTGCAGATTTGCAATAAAGCCAAAAACTAGGACCAACACATGTCCATTAACAAGTAAGTGAAGACAATCTGTGGTATATTTATATGATGGAATACTACTTAGCAATAAAAAGAAATGAACTATTAATACACACTACACCATTGATAAACATCCATTATGCTGAGTGAAAGAAGCCGGACCAAACAAGTGTATATACTGTTTGACTCCATTCATATAAAACTCTAGAAAATGAAAATTAAACCACAATGGCAGAATATAGATGAGTGGTTACCTGGAGATGGGATGAGGGGCAGGAAAGAAAGATTACCAAGGAGCAAAGAAATTCAGGGGGTGATGGATGTGTTTATTATCTTAATCGCAGTGAGGGTTTCAAAGGTGTATACACATGTCAAAACTGATTAAATTTTATAGTTAATATATGTGCAATTTATTGTACTGTATGTCAATTATACATCAGTAAAGCTCTTTTTGAAAAACACAAGGAAAAGCAAAGCAAAATAAATAGAAAATAAGAGTAAGAGATATTAAAAGGTAAGAGATTAAATTGATGGAAAGGAAACAAAGACAAGAAAGGGTAAATAAAACTGAAAGCTGGTTCTCTGAAATAAAAAAAAATCAAATGCATCTGGCATGTCTTGTTTAAAGAAATAGAGACAAACTAAAAATATACAACATTAGGACAAAAAAGGACTAAGTCAACAGATATGAGATTAAAAGATTTATAAATGAAGTTCCACTTCTTGTGATCGCAAACCAGGTAATAGTAACTAGCTGAGGACAATATAAAAAGCTGGATAAAATATCTGTTTTACTGACTCAGCATTCTGGAAAAATTATGGAGGCAAGATCCAGGAAAAGACAGACACCCAAGGGATAAATTGGCATTTGGGGTTGCTTCTCTTCTGATGGTTTATCAATTACTGAAAAGACTGGAAGCTGAGCAGCATTTGACAGCCTAATGGAGCTAGAGGGACAATATTGGTGTCCAGAGCCCATCAAGGTGGAAGACTGATAAATCCCCCTCACAAAAAGGGGTTTACCCCCTTGGAGTAAGCAGGAATCGAAAGTAGAAGCCATCTCAGGGACTGAAGCCTTATTTTGAATCATCTCAGTCTGTGAAAATGGATTAGTAATTGCTAGCAACTGGAAACTCCTAGAAAACTGCCAGAAGGTTATACTGTATCAGAGCCCTGCCAGGAGACAGAAACCACACCA